CTTAACAACAAAGCTTATGTTTAGAGTTTATGTTTAGTACACTGTTTTTGAAATCAGAAGTAAACATATAACTTTTTAATTTTAGTCAATTTTAGAAGTTCTAGCCTAAAATCTGGAAGTGATAAATAATCTAACTCTGGTATTAAGTGTAAATACATTCATGGAATAAATATTTCTTTGTATATAGATATATATTCAGGAAATTTATCAAGTATGTTTTGTAGCATGTGCTAAGTGATAACTTTAAAGTTAAGCACTGTGCTGAATTGAGAGATAAATTAAGAATAGATATTAGTGTTATTGGTAATATTTTGACTCATATGTTGTTTGTCATGATTGGTATTATTTAAGTGTACAGTTATTAGCTACATGTAGTAACAAATTACATAATTATTGAAAGTAGTTGTGGAACATTATAGGTGTCATGGCAGGATTATGAGAGCTGAATTATAACCTGTAGAAAAATAAGCAAAAAATTAATTTCTATACATTGTAGTTATCGAATGTTACGTATGATGAAAATATAAAACCAAACAATATACTGTTGTAAAAAGCTTGATTTACATTAAGAAATGAGAGTCACCTTGTGTGAAAGTTGCATATTGGTACAAAAAATATTGTAGAGATTAAACTACTAAAGCCATGTTATGTAGTCCAGTTATTAACTTTACATAATTTTTACAGATCAACTTAATAGCACCACCACTTTATGTGGTCACTACTACAACGATGGAACGGACAGAGGGCGTAAAAGCTCTTAGTGAGGCCATTGATAAGATACAATATGCTATTAAAGGATCTGGTGGTGTGTTTAATGTAAAGAACCCGGTATGTTAATCAGGCTTTTAAGAAAAAATTAGTTTAATTAGATGTATAGTTTCAAAGTTTTTTCAAGCTTATCTCAGAATTCAAGTATAATAGTGAAACTTCTGAACCTAAAACATCAAAGGAACATGTTTCCTAAGTAGTGAGAATCTTCAGAATATACATCTTATCCTGACTGATGTTCATCATAATATACATTACATTTTGGGATTTATATAGTTAAGAAAAGATCTAACCTATATAAAAGCCAGTGTGTGTCACGTCACGCTTGATTTCTTGAAATAGGAGGAGTCATAAAAGCCAAAATGCATTTATTCAGATAGAATAATTTGATTACTGTCTGCCCATTATGATTTTAGTGACGAGGGTGCGAGGGGGTTGTAGGGGTGTGTGCGCCATGAAACCTTATAAGTGTAGCGAGTGTTGGTATAATAAGCTAAAGTAAAAACATAATGTGGATCACCTAGCCTTGAGCCAAGTGCATAAAATTTATCATGAAAGTAAAAATATCGATTCAATTTTAAACTTAAATCGTTTCTGAATTAAACTATTTTCTCTTATTTCACCAATGTTTTTAATAAAAACAACATCTGTAATCAATGGAGACTAAATTAAGAAA